CCTGCACTGAGCCCTCACCCCTGCCGCCCTGCACTGAGCCCTCACCACTGCCGCCCTGCACTGAGCCCTCACCCCTGCCGCCCTGCACTGAGCCCACAGGCAGCCCAGCTTTCTCCCCCAGCTCCCAGGCACAGCCGGCAGCAGGAGCTGTTCCTTTTTCTTTTCTCTATTTTTCTAAACATGTTGATTAGTCTCCGTATCCCATTGATTCATTGAAAACACAAACAAAGCTAAGTGAGGAGCGAGCGCAAAGCCTGTCAGCTTGCCAAAGGCTTATGAGGGGACACATGTGCATAGAGGGGAACAGCTGGGCGGCTTTTAGCAGGAGCTGCTGCTGCTGCTGCTGCTGCTGCTGCTGCTGCAAGATCCCAAACACACTCCCCCCACTACACACACACACACACACACACACACACACACACAGAGTCGGGGTGCAGCAGTGGCCTCAAAGCTCTCCCCTGAGGGTTTCATGGGTTTTAGGTGTTCGGGTTTGGTTTGGTCCATACTGGGAAATAGAGACTGGACAGATTCCCTGGGAAATTTCCAGCACTCTTTCTCTCCAGCTCACACTCAGAATTTAGGAGGGGAGGTGGTGAGGCGGTTGTGCTGCACTTGTGTGGATGTCTGTGTGGTAAAGTGGCCTGGCCTCCTAGGCCAGTGAGAAGTCAGCTCTCCTTGAACTACTACCACCCACCGCAGGCTGGACCAGGCTTGTCATGGTGGAGCTAATGTTGAGTGACGAAAGCCTTTCGCTCCTACATATGACACTAAATGTCTCTCAGCACCGTATCTCTTAGAAGCCTGACCTAAACCTTTTCCATACATCTATCTCAAAGGGAGTTGTTTTGTTTTTAACGTGTGTGTGTGTGTGTGTGTGTGTGTGTGTGTGTGTGTGTGTGTGTGTGTGTGTGTGTGTTACAGCATGTGTGTCAAATCAGAGGACAACTTGTAGAAATGGTTCCTTTCCACACTGGGTTCCAGGGATTGAACTCAGGTCAAGTTTCGTGGCAAGCATTTTTACCAACTGAGCCATCTTATCGACCCCTGCCAAGACAGGGTCTCATGTAACCCCAGCTGGCCTCAAAGTCACTATGTAGCCAAAGATGGCCTTGAATTTTGGCTCCTTTTGCCCCCACCTCTTGAGTGCTTGGATTACAGGTGTGTACCCCCACACCCAGTTCATGCATTGCTGGGGATTGAACCCAGCGCTTTCAGCATGCTAAGCAAACACTCTGTCACCTGAGGTACATCCCCATCCCCCAAAACTAGAATTATTTTGTAATGATAGTATTGATAAATCCTTGTGATAAATAACTCTAGGAAATTCTAGAATCGTTGACAGCTTTTATCATTGTTTCCTCCCAAAGAACTCTCTGGTTCAGAGAATCCCATAAAATTCTGATTACCTCTTTTTGTCATGGCTACTGTGGAACCCATCCCAAAGGTCCAACAACTGAGAAAGATACTCTGCCCCTCACGGATCCCTGACAGCTGTACCTGGAGGTGCACAGCACGGCCTGATCAGTTCCTGACAGCATTGGGGCTCACTTCTCCCCAGGGCAGAGGAACTCGGAAGGACCTGCCTTCTGTCCCTTGGTCAGTTGTATCTTCAGTGAGGTTTCCCAGGTCAGTGAGGCACTCAAGGCCTAAACAGAGGGCTCTGTGCTTGGTTGTCATGGCAGTCAAAGCTCTCCTTGGCAAAGCACTCCTACCTGGGAGCTGGAGACGTGGCTCAGCCGGCAGAATTCCCGCCTAGCACGCATGTCGCCCTGGGTTCCATCCCCAGCACTCATAAAACACTCAGGAATTAGATACCGGGTCAGGAGTTCTCCACCACTCTAGTCCTTAGTGACTCGTACACCAATCTCTCTGATGAGGAGAGGCCCAAGTTCCAGCTGTCTAGTGGACATGGCCCTTTGTATCCTCTGATAATCTCAACCTTGAGGTATAAAGGAAATTTAATGTCATTTTCAACTACCAGTGTCGCTCCATGGTGACCTGTCTGTGGGGGAGTAGGGGGCACAGGCCTGAGGTCAACTTTGGATGTCATTCCCTTGGAGCTGTCAACCTTGTTTTTCAGACAGGTTCTCTCAGCAGAATCTGGGGCTCACCAACTGGGCTAGTCTCGCTGGCCAGAGACCCCCACCTTCCCAGTGCTAGGATTACACCACACACCGTGGCACTCAGCTTTGTCACGTGGACCCTCAGGGTTCAGGGAGCCCACACACTGGACAGCATCTGCTAACCTTGTGAAGTATTCCTTTTTACTTCTTAAAACTAACTTCTGTGGCTGCTTGAGCTGGTTTATCTCTCAGCCCCTAGAGAAGGAGAGAGACCTTCCCATGGTGGTCACAGAAATGCTGGTGTCCTGGAGGGCTCAAGCAAGAGCTGCCCGTGCCCTCAGCTTGGGAACTTGGCACGGGAGCCTCTCATGACTGCAGCTAACAAGGTGCTCTGCCTGCTCCTTTCTCTCTGGCTTCTGGCGGATCTTGTCAAAGTGTACGAGTGCAACGATGGCCCATTTTCCATAGATTAGGCACAAAACACTCAGCGGTTTCCCAGCACACTGGGTGGTCAGGGATAATGGCTTCCAAGTCATGTCCGTCCATGAAGAGTCATGCGGCTCCATGGCGCCATTGTCCATCAACAGAGTGTCAGCTGTCCCTTGGAGGGGACAGCTGCAGCAGGCTGACTCTGGCATGGGAAGTCCAGCGTTTTGTGCCCTGCTGAGACATCCACAGCTATGTAGGTGAGGCCTCATAGCATGGTAGCCAATATGCCTTTATGGTGTGCATCCCGACATTTGCTTTAGTTGCTGGGAAGCCCTGTTCAAGGAGTAGCTTGTCTCTAGCCCAACAGTAGGATTCTGCTGGAGTCTGTTCTTGACTAAGCAGCCAGTTCTTGGCATTTTGCTGGCATGAAAGAGGTGACAGAGAGGGTTGATGGCAGCCTCAGAAAATTTCATGGGACTGAATAGAGTGGGCAGAATTCCTCATGAATGCGCTAGACTCAAGTTACATTTTTCCTTCTCTTCACTCCAAGAATGTCATGAGAGCAACTGGTTCTATCCAGACAGAATGATTCTGGCAGCATTCATGTAACTAAGGTTTGTGTGTAACCACTTACACATAGCCTCATGTAGCAAATCAAACAGAAGAGAAAAACTCAGGGCCCATGAGATCGTTAAGTCAGTCAAGAGCTTTCCATGCAATTGAGGATCCAAGTGCAATCCCCAGAACCCATGTGTGGTGGTGCTTGCTTGTAAATCCAGTGCTGGGGAGGCGAATCCCTGAGTCCCAGGTCAGTGAGGGATTCTGTCGCAAAACAAAACAGCTGAGGAGCAGCACCCATGGCTGTCCTCCGGCTCTGCACATATGTGCACACCCCATACACAGATGCATACATGTGACATACCCACCCACAAAGAAGAAGACCTGAAATCCCATGCATCTCATGGCCTGAATCTTAGCCTGTGGGGCTGTCAACATGGTGGCCCTCGGTTCTCTCCTTCTTGCTGGCAGTCTGCCTTGGGTCATCTTATTTTATTAGATGTAGCATAGTATAGGGATTCTCCATCCCGAGGCCAAAGCAGGAATTTCTGGATTGGGGCTGTTATGTGGGCACATATGGGCAAAGGGTTGCCAGGAGGTTCCTGGAGCTGCAACTGGGCCATGAAAGGTGATGGAATCAGACAACAGAATGTTTCAGGTAGGGAACAAAGCTGAACCCATGAGAAACTAGTTCAGAAGCCTTCTTCTTAGACAACAGGAGGAAAGTGGATATTGAAAGCATGTTGTCCTCTCTTCCTGTACAACACTGTTGCTCTTGCCCCCTTTAACATTCAAGGAGCATGTCACTGGAGGGCACGTCTCCTTATTTGTATATGTGTGCTGTATAGGAAGTGACTCATGCCTCAGCTCTTCACTGGGGGATTCTAGGCAGGGGCTCTACCACTGAGCCACACCCCAG